GCTGCGCTGCCGCCGGCTTTATTGCGCCGAGCAGACACAACCCGGCCCCCGGCCGGGCCCCTCCCCCCACGCACTGTGTCGCGAGGGCCCCGCGGCGCCGCCGGCTTCCTCCTAACCTGAGGGGTTTCTTTCTAGGTGGACTTGTAGGCTACTTTTCTTTCCTTTCCTTTGTAGCGCTGGGGCCATGTTTTCAACCTCCCCGTCCCCATCCCAGGAGACTTTCTTATGAAATGAGGCGGCGGGGCTGCGGGCGGGCGGGCGGGCGCGGTGCGGTACGGGGGGTGAAACGTTCCCCTGCGAGAGCTGTGGCGCGGTGTCGCGCCAGGAGGGCCCAGCGCCTGGGCTGGTGTGGAGCAGTGCCTGTAACTGAGGTGAGGCTCTCTCTTGGGCCGGCTGGCGAGGCTTCCTTAGGCTGATGTCTTTTATTGGACCAGCTACACGGTCAGAGTCGGACGAGCTTTCAGATTCGTCGTACTCTTTGGGCTGTTGCCTGGCTGTCGCCTTCTGTCTGCCCGTTTCCCAGCAGCAGTAGGAGGCATTTCAGGGTCTAAAATGAGTGATGATGTAGCTCTGTCAGAGCAGGGAATGCTGTAGGGTTGGGGTTTTTAATGCAGGAAGTAGATGGGGGAAACTTTAACTTGGGTCGGGCACAACAGTGCTGTTGTGGTGGCTTCTAGCCCCTCAGGCCTGTCGCTCTGCAACAGTAGTGACTTGGGTTGAAAGCTCGTATGCTCGCTTTCTCTGTCTCTGTCTCTCTCTCTTATTTAGTTAATCTGTAAAGGTGCTTGTCTACCCTGCCTTTTCACTCTGCAGTACTTCACTCCTGCCCTCCACTCCTGCACCCTGAGGAGTGTCAGCAAGGGTGAATTCCAGGTGTCTGCTCACGCAGCATGTAGCATGCTGGAGGTGTAACAAGGCTGGAGCCATGTCTGTATCCACCTGCCTCTGCCAGCAGAACTGGGAGCAGACAGCAATGCCTAAATCTCAGCTCCCAGAGCACGTGCACATCCACGGGCTTCTGATGTTGTGCTGCCTGGGTAGGAAGTGTTATTGGCAGCTGAATGGATCACAGCAGACAGCTGAAGGCACAGGAGCAGCACTTCTAAGTGGCCACAGAAACTTTTCTGTGCTAAGCAGTGATGGATTGATTGTGCTGCTGAGTGTGAATGTACACCGAGTTTTGCCCACAGAACTGAAATGCTGCTAGCAAAACTTTCTAGTATAGTCTAAGCCTTAGATGCAGTAACAGTGGAGTGTCACTGCCACCAGTGCTTAACTGCACAGAACAGTTCCCAAACTGACAGATTGCGTACCACCAACTTAAAACGATACAACCTTAAGTACTACAAGCAAAGTTCTCAATTCAACCTTAAGTACTACGCGCAGCCGTCTCCAGCACGGAGCTGATGCTGGAGCTGTGCAGCCTGGTGGAGCTGTTTGTAGCCTGCTTGCTGCAGCTGCCTAGAGCCCAGGTTGGCTCCAAACAGCTGCGCCGGGCTCATCACCTCTGTGCCAGGAGCATGGGAGAGATGGGGGCTGCACTGCCTCGGGCCCAGCCCCCACTGCCCGCTCCTAGGCGCACCTGCACGTGCCGGTGTGGAGCTGATGCCAGAGCCCAGTGCCGCAAGCCCCTGGGGGGAGCGGGGGGGGTGGCTGGGGGCAGCCACAGAGCCTGGGCTGTGGGGCAGGGGCTTTGGGTGGGGGGCAAGGGGCAGTAGGGCTGGGGGGCAGGGGCTTCCGAGGTAGGCATTGTGGTGTTTTTCGGCACTCCAGCCAAAAAATGTTGCCTACCCCTGCTGTAACATAAATTGGGAGCCACTGGCATAGAGGATAAAGTGTGGCCCTGAGAGCCTTTATTTTTCACTGTAGTGTTGTACTAGGAGGCTTACTACTCCAGACAGTTAATGGATAGTGTATAGAAGTAGAGCCTGAGCCTGTCTGCCTTCCTGTCAGTCAGTGGAACGACTCTGTGGAAAAGGCTACGTTTACAAAGCCCTAGAAGCAATGCTGGCAGTGGGAATTGCGGTATGGGATGGGGAGCCTGAACTCCTTTCCACTACTTATATGGCACCTTGGTCAGGCCACTTAATCCTATGATGCCTGTGAGGTTGAATTTGTGTTTCTAAAGTGTTATGAGGTTATTGGATGTCTTCCCTAGACATCTAATCTGGGGTGTGACTGGTGGATTAAAATTCAGCTCCATTGATGGGGCAGTGTGCAGGATATCAAGGGAGTGGAGTTTCTGAAGCAGTAGTAGCATTAAAGGAAAATATGACTATGATGTAATTTTCAGGCTGGTTTCTATTCTCAATCGGGCCCTAGAAGACTGTGCTGAGCAAAGGAGGAAGCTAGACCACAGCTTAAATCAATGTCAAGCTCTTCTTGGAGATTGGTGAGTCCTAAATGGTTGCCAAAGAATAGCTAAAAGCTGCTCCTGCTGCTGTATGTTTCCTAGTAACTAAAACTTCAGCCTAGGATTCAGGAGCAGTGGACTTTATTTCGAGCTTTGCTGCTTACTTTGCATATGGTAACAAGTGATGTCTCACTTGTGTGAAATATCTGGTGTACTAGTTCGTTGATTGTTCCTAAGTGCCTTTCAGGAACACAGAGCAGACCTGGAAGCAGATTTCTACTGTAAGTATACAAGCAGGGGAAAAAATCTTGGCGAAGGCAATAATGGGCTGGGTGTCTCTTGACTGATCACACATATGGAAACAAAAGAAGCAGACCTGCTCCTTTCTCTTTGAGGGTTTTCTTTAGCCTGCCAGGTAAAACAAGGGGTAAAGAAGATTCATGATTGAAAATTGTCTTTCTTGTGCATGTCTTTCCACCTGTTATTTCAAAAAATAATCCCCTAGCATAGTGGTCCCAAATCTGTGGCTGCCTGTGAGACCCTTGATGTTTCTTGCAGCCACAAGAAATTTTGCTTTTCACAGATCTGTGTTTCTTCATATTGGCAGGGAGAGCAGGGTAGGTTGTTGCCTGCAGTGCATTATTTATTATTGTTGCCTGTGGGCTGCCAGAGTGTGGGGATTGTTATCAATCTGTGCTGGAGTGCTGCCCTCCATTAACAGGGTGCAGCCCCATGTGCCTTGTGCAACCTGTGGGTCTCTTTAGTAACTGTAAATCCACTGCTCCAGATTAGAGTTTTTCAGCTTTCTGGCAGGGGAGAGGGTGGTGGGTTAGTACTTGAGAAGGGAGAGACTTCCTATGTACTACTATCTTGAGGGAAGTTCTAGGTGGATTTCTCCCACCTCTGCCCTAACCTGTAGTGCTTCCTACTGCTCCAGTTCTACACTGCGACCCCTCCCTTCCTCCCAGCTCTACCAGCATCCAATGAAAAGTGCCTCAATAAGTATGGTTCTGTTACCTGATGGAGGGGAGAGGGACAAACATGGGGTGATGTGTGTACATGGGGTCTTTAGTAAGCTGCATGCATCAGAGTACAAAACATGATGTTTTGTATTTGTTTTTCCCTTCCTAGGAAGATTCATGCTCCTGAAAGTCCAAAGTTGGAGGTCAGCACAAAGAGTGAAGGTGGTGAGCCTTTCCTTCTTCCCAGCACTGTGTCTCATTGTTACTAACCAAATCCCAACAGCACATACATGCTGAGCTAAAATACATCTAATGTGTTCCTTCAAATGTTCACTGTTAAGAAGCATTATTGTGTTGTGTTCACCCATTGAGTTTCATGGAGTTTGCTTGCATCAAACTGAGTCTTGTGAGTACAGTTGCAAGTGTGAATGGGACTCCTGTCAATGCCACTTCCTTGTGGAAGTGTTTGTCATAGCAGAGATGTCAGGGATTCTCCTTCTGTGGTTGGTCTCTATCCTGACTTTTGCAGGATTTTGCTGAGGCTGCCTGCATCTGCAAGCAGGGTCTGCAGGAGCATGATGAAAAGTCTTTGGGCTTCCCTACCATAGGCTTAGGGACCTACTGAATTCACCGCAGAAGTGGTGTGTGCATTGGCTCCTTTAATCTTGCAGGTTCCCCTGTGTGCCCCACCTCCCCTGTTGATTGGTGGAGGGACCAGGCTTGCAGCTCACTCCTGATTGTTGGGGAGGCAAAACTGTGGTTTTAAATATGGCGCTGTGTTTGCCTCCTGCCACTGATTGGCTGAGGGACCCCGGTGGCCCCAATGCTTGTTGCTGACTTGTGAGGAGGCAAAAAGCACACCATGTTTAAAACCTTGGTTTTTACTTCTGTGCCAATCAAGAGGGAGTGGTGGAGCCCCTCTGCCAATCAGTGGTGACAGGGGGAGGGGCAGGAGAACATGAAAGATTGAAGTAGCTGCTGTGTACCCCATTTCTGCTGTGAATTTGGTAGGTCTCTACATATGCTATCTGCGCTTCTGAAAAATACAGAAATGAGCCACTCTAGGGAAGGGTGGGAGGGAAGGTGCTTGGTCATCACGTATCACTTCTTGACATGCTTTCTGCTGTTGCAGAGAATGAGCCTGCAGCCAAGGAACTTGAGGAACTGGAGCTGCTCACTAGAGCCTTGGAGAAAGTATTAAGAGTCCGGAAAAGTGTCCTGCAAACTCCATTGCAGACTGTGGGAGCTGCAGAAGGAGAGAAGACTTCAGATAAAAAGCCTGCTGCTAAAGCATCTATAACAGAGCAGGTGCCTGTGTCTAAGGAGAGCATTCCTAAGACCATCAAAGTGACATCTTTGAGCAAAAAGCCTGTCACTTCCAAAAAGGCATCAGCATATGTGCTGAAAGCTCCCTACCGGACTGACCCGGATGTGAAAAGAAGCCACAGGAAAGCACTAGCCCAGCAGAGCTCTAGGATCCCAAGGGTAGCTGTGAAGGGCTCCACTAAAGGAACTTCCTCCCAGCAAGCAAAGACGAATGTACCGGTCATGGGTCGGAAAGTGATCTATGCGGCTGCAGGATCCCAGCAGGCATGTGGTTCACCCAGATCTCCCCTGTGCAAAGAGCAAAGCTTTGCCTTTGGGGACTCAACCAACCATGAGAACTCAGGAGCAGCCAACCTCCAGTTAGTCAATCCAGAGAAGAATTCTCCTGGTTCCTTGGCAGAGTCACTAGTGACACAGAATCCCATGGCAGGAGATATTCCAGAGTGGAGTCCCACACCCCAAACATGTACCCTCTGGGAAAAGAGGTATGTACTCAATGATCAGCACCATTTGTTGTAGTTTGTTCAGCAATTGGATTCCACATCTGTTCTCACCTTGCCCCCATGGGGGCTGATCTTTCCCACCGTTCTGAAAGTCCCAATTCTGTTTTATTCCTGCCCCCCTCCCCTTGCCATTGTCTTAATGACTATTAAGAAAGTATTTTTGTGGTATGATCCAATCTTTGGATGCCTAGAACTGTAATGATGTCTTAACCAAAATGGATGCTTGGGCTTGTCTCTCAGTTTAGCAATGACTCTTTTGGAAAACTAAGTCAGACCTTTCTTTTGTTCTAGATCCTCTTTTTTCTTTTAGTCAGTTAAATAGCTACAACTTTAGCAAACTTGATGAGGGCACAAGTCCATGCTGCTGCCGCTGCTGCTGCTGCCGCCAGGTGGAAAGAGGGCACCTCGCCATGGCGGTAGCGGAGCTCCTGGTAGCGGCACTGAGCTTCCCTGTCCTGCTCTGCTGCGGAGGCCCCAGGGGGAGGGCAGCAGGGTGAGGAGCCCTGAGCCCACAGTGCGCAGCCTGCATCCTCCCTCCTCCCCTCCCCATGGGCTCTGCTCCAGCTGTGCTGCCCATGTGGGGAAGGGGAGGGAACTGGGGTCCATGCTCCACTCTGGCCATGGGTGGCAGCTAGGGCTAGGATGCTGCTTGGAGGGTAGGAGGCTGTGGCCCCTGGTTTCGTAGCCCTGGCACCTGGGGGCTCCCACTGGCAGGGCTGGTGGGGGCAGGGAGCTGTGGGTTGTGAATGAGGGCACTAGCAGGGGTGAGGGGCTGTGGGTGGGGAGTGAGGGGCACTGACAAGGCCAGGGGACTGTGGGTGGGGAATGAGGGGCACCGGGGGAGGAGGGGGAGGCTGTGGGTTGGGAGGGGCCATACTGAGGAAATGGGATCATGCTGAGGAAACGTTTGGGAAGCACTGCCCTAGAACAAGATCCCTCTACTCCCTTTCCCCACTCCCATTCTGAAAACAGCGCTGGCTGGGAGGGAGCAGGAGCCATTGCTAAAGGAAACCACCTGCAGGCTGGCAGCCAGCAGCTGGATTCCTCTTCCCCCTGGAACCAGAAGTGAACTTCTGTTTGTTTCGGAGGTTCCTTGTAACTCAGAACGCTTCCTGCAAAGTGCTCTTCTGCCTGCACCCATTGTCATGTGGGAGCAGCCCCCCATATGTACTCCCAGGTTTGCCACTATGTTGCAGTGATGGTAGCAGCCAGCCTACCAGGAGGTACCTGCTTGGGAAGTATGGATGCCCCATGCCTGATTGCTCCTTGTTGGTGGCAGCCCTGGCAGACATGTTGCTGGTGGTGACAGTGGCGTTTTCCCCTCCATGCTTAGAGAATTCCCTCCATACCCCTTCCTGGGTGTATGGGGAGATGGTGGCCAAAAGCAGCACTTAGTGGTTGGCAGGGGGAGGAGGGAAGTTCAAGGCATGAAGCAGTGGGCCTATTATCACTAGCTCTATACTGCAACTCCACCAGGCCCTAGGAGAGGGAGGAGGTGGTGGTGGAGCAGAGGAAGCAGCCATGTGTGGTGCAGTAGGGATAGTCAAATACCAAGCAAATAGTTAGGTGGTGGTTTCAGATTCAAATAGAATAGTACCATGTTTTGATATATGCATAAAAAGAAGGGGGTGAGAATGGAAATGCAAAAACCAATACTAAAACAATGCAGTTTAGAACTGAATTCCAGCCAAGTTAGGAAATGCTGAGTTACATAAGATGTGGGAGCTGCAGAAAATATGTATCCGAATTAAGCAGAAGTTTATGCCATTCACCTAGTAATGCAGTGGACACATGGAAGCGTTGTTATTGTTGCTGAGAGAAATGGAATTTGAATTTACCAGTGTATTTGTTCAGAATCTGAACTGTGATGCATCTGTGACCCTTTGCATCTACGTGTGCATGCATGTGGTCAGTTAGATATAAACCAGCAGTCACTGGATTGACAGTCCGTGCCAAACATGAGAAGGGCATTAGCCATTAGTGAGAGAGGTTTGACTGAGTAATCCTTCCCTTTAGGCTGATGGGAAGGCAGCAGTGCTCAAGAACCATTTGTTCTGCTGGTGCTGGTCAGACAGGATCACTGAGTAGTTGGTCTTGGAGCTTATTACCTCCAGCCTCCGCCTTCTCCAAGGCTGGTGAGAATGGATAGCATTAATTCTTCGGGCTTCCATATGACTTGTGAATTTGTGTGAGCAGTCAAATTCTAGTTCCACTAGGGTATGCTGAAGGCAATTGCTTGGACAGTCTGAGGCAAGCTTCCATCAACCATCTCTGTTGTTCAGTGCCTGGCAGACTGTCTCCAGATCTGTCAGGAAGGAGCCTTTCACCTGCTTTAAGTTAATGCCATACTCAGGTGTAATTAGATGTGTACCGATACATCGGTCCAATATTGGATTGGTACTGATATAAAGAAAATTGTCTGTATTGGAAATTGGCCTGATGTGGCTGATAAATGGCCCGTGCCTGCGCGCGGCCGCAGCACAGCACATAGGCAGTGAGGAGTACAGCCTAGCAGCATGGAGAGCTGCATGCAGCTGGTAAGTCTGTTGTGGTGGAAGGGGAAGGAAGGAGCATGGGGACGGCAGATGGAGGCCCCTGTGGTGAGGGAGGGAGTGGGGCTGGGGCTGGGGCAGGTGCTGCCCAGCTGGGGTGGGGCTCATCCGGATGGCATGGGGGGTGAGGCTCCTGCTGCTGTGCATACCCCAGGAGGGCATGTGCCCCCTGGATCTGTGCGGGGTGGGCTGCAGCTGCAGGCTGGGGTGGCGCCAGGCACTTCCCGGCAGGGGCTGGGTTGGGCTGCGCTAAGGGCGGGTGGCAGAGGGGCTGGAAGGGGTGTTTGGGGAGGGCTACAGTGTGTTTTGGGGTGGCTGCAGCCCTCCCTGTAGCCCCCTTCCTGGCACCACCACCGCCCACCCCAAGCAGATCCAAGGAACACATGCCCCCTCCATGCCCTCCTGTGGTGTGCACAGCAGCAGGAGCCACCTCACCCTCCCCACATCCCAGACGAGCCACAGCTCTGTTCCGCTCCTGCCCTGCCCCGGCAGAGAAGTGCCTGCCCCAGCCCCACTCCCTCCCTTACTGTGGAGGCCTTGATCTGCCTCTTCCCCCCCACCCAAACATCCTTTCCCTCCTCCCTCCCCTTCCACCACAACAGACTTATCAGCTGCATGCAGCTCTCCTTGCTATATTGGAAATCAGATCGGTATCATCCAATATGCCTTCTTAAAAATCAGCTATTGATATCAGCCCCAAACATGTCTATCGGTGCACCCCTAGGCATATTTATTTTAGTAACTGAGAGACAGAGAACAGGATAGGAGTCTTTATCTCACTCTGCTGCCCTCTGCCGCTCTTCTTTTCAGGTCCTTGCTGAAGCTGCCTCCTCTCTATAGGAAAACGTATTCCAGGAATTCCAGGTAAGCCTACCTTCAGTCCTGGTGGGAATTCCCCTATGGAGGTAGCATGAGTGTGTGGTGTGAGGGGAAGGGCTGGGGTTTCACACGCTGATTAGATTGAGGCCTTTAGGGTGCTGCATTTTGGAACTGAGAGGCATTGGCAGAGATGTGCAGAGTGCCTGAGATTGGAATATCAAGGGCTGTGGCAGGATGGACTTGAAGTGCCTTAGCAGAGCTGGGTGGAGGAGCTTGCTAGAACATTGGCTAGAATATCATTCTCTCGAGCACCAGAATGGACTAAATATACCCCAAGATTAAAGTAATGATCGTGATCTTCTGCCTCTTTGTATGTTGGCAGTTCTGCAAGTATACTTGCTGATGTTGTATCATAGATATTGGAGATATTAGGCCCTCTAGAACTGGGACCATCCCTATGTTTTGGCTGGTCTGACTTTGTGCCAAGCAAGAGACATTCCCACCACTTTAAGAGACAGTGTCACAGCCTAGTCATGCCCTCTGTGGTGAGGTTTGGCTTGACCTTGTACCTTGCTCTAGCTCTGGGTAGCAACCCAATTGATTTCTGTGCCTCTTGGGAGCAGTCCTCTGCCCAGTACTTGTAGGTTATTATTTTGTTGCCAGTTATTCATCTCTGAGCCAATTCTATAGGTTTAATTCTCTAATTATTCCTTATAAATCAATCCCTCCATCAGTATAACAATTTCTACTCTCTTTGCCATTGCTTTGAACTAACATGACAAACTGTAAGTGGTCTAACAACTTAGCGCTGAAATAGCCACTTTCCCTTACAGAGGAAATGCATCTTGTGAGGTAATTTCTATTCTTTCACATTCCATTAACCTTACTGCTTCTCATTATAACCTTTCTCTTAAAAAGGCAGTTTCCATCAGAATTAAAATGATTCATCTAGACAGAGCTAAAATTCAATTTAGAAGTGTCATGCCAACTCTCGGATCAGATAGTTGCATACTAGATAGCTGTTTTACTGCCGACGCACCTCAATTTCTGTAGTAGTTTTTGAAAGTGTGGCTGAATTCTTAGTCTCACATGGCTGTGTACCTTTCTGTTCCATGTGTCTTTCACCAGAACTGTAGTTTTTTTCCCCCCTCAAAATTGGGTGCATGCTCTGGCTCAGTTTACAGCCCAGGCTAGGTCCTCAATATTACTTGATTCTTTCAAAAGCGCACAGACCAGTAGGTGTTGTCTGATCTGTGTTTCCCTGTTTCCATCTGTATGTGTCTCATTAGAATAGCCCCACTTCCACATGTTGTCTTTGATTCTTCCAGCTCATGGGTGGAGACCATTCAAACATCTCACAGCTGGCCAATCGATTTCCATACCTGCAGGTAGCTATTCAGCAGCTCCAGTGGTTTTTTTTTCAATCCCTTGCTGATCACATTGGGTGCCTGTAGACATATAGGGAGGTGCTCCAACATGCTGTAATTACAGTGTGTTAGAACAAACTCAATCAATTGAGTCTGCTGGAGTGTGCTAATTAACATGCTTCAGCCAGCTTCTGTGTCTCATGTATCGGCATCCCTGTGCTTCAGAATGGTGACAGGGGTGTTTTAATGCTCCCCCATTGCTATTTTGAAGTGCAGGGATGCTGATACAGGAAAGATTGTGGGAGCTTTAATTAGAACAACTCTTGGAGCCGGTCTAATTCAAGTGCCCACCCACCTCCACCTGGAGCATGTGTAAAAATGCCCATTGAGCTGGCAGCACCACTTTTCTACTGGTATAGCTGCAAGCAGTTTTTAAGAGATTGTTGTAGCAGGAAAGCTTTTTGATGACTTCGGTTGGCCAATGGCAGCAGTGTGTCCAAGTGGTGGGTGCTTCCTGTTTAAATTCATTGTCTGAATTTTGTCTTGCTTGTAACTGCTCACCTGATGTCCAGTGGTGCAATCCCAGCAGATATTTACAGACTGCTCACATTGGTTGGTCTATGGCAAGAGTATCAAACATAGCCCGTGGGAGGAATCTGGCCCTCAGACCCATTCAGTCTGGTGCACTGGAAGCCGGAGACCATAATCAAGGTGGAGTAGCTTCCCAGAGAATTCGGGGAACTTGGGCCCCGGTGGATATGGTGACTGGTAGCATGAGGGTGAGCGAGAGCTGATTTACAGCCTCAGTCACCCTCCAGCTGCTTGACCCATTGCCTGTGGCAGCTCTATGACCACTGGCCCCATCACCGCTCCACACTGGAACTGCTTCCCCATGCTGGAGTTAGAGCTGCCACCGTGGTAAAGTACTTGTGCTAGCAGCAACAGCTTTGGCCCTGATACAGGTTGTATGGTGGAAGCCAGAGCTACGCTGCATGTCCCATGCCAGAGCCAAAGCTGTCGCTGCTGCCACTGCATACCCCAGGTGAGAGCCAAAGTTGCCACCCACTATGAGCCTCGGGCTGGATTCAGCCTGCAAGAAGCCCTGCAGTCTAGATCCGCCTCGGGGCACAAGGTGGGTTTGATACCATTGGTCCAAGGCATCTCATAATGCACTGGCAATCTTCATTCAGTATCTTTGCATGCATTGATATTTCCCATGCCAAGAAACACACGCTTGCGTTTTGCTACTTAGCAACCAAATACAGTGTTCATAGTGTTGTTGGTTTAAGCTTCTTCACTATGCTGTTCCAGGCACTGATTTTTACACTTATTTTTTCCACATGCATCCTCACAGAAAGTGCACAGTCTTGTATTACTCCTAGATGCACAGAATGAGTAAGGGGTATCCCATTCTGGGTTATGTTGATTTTTTTTTTTTTTTTGCCTGGAAATTCCTGAGGTGAAAGACACTTGTTGGCATTTTAGACAGGTTGATGTGTAATTGGTGTAATAACCTGAGAGTTCAGAATACTGATGTTAATGCAGAGCATCAGCTTAGGTGAAGTTACTGGCTTTGGTAGTTGATATATGATCATCTGCATTGATAAAACTTCTTGTGCCAAGATGGATCAGTTATTTGCGTAGATGCTGAAGAGGCATGAGGCATAAGGGTGTCCCCCTTGCAGTAGGTGGTTTTATTATCCTTACCATCAGCTCCACTTCTGGCATGCTGCCGACAGGTCTGTGAACATATAGCTATATAAGCCTGTGGCCATACCTTTTTGAAAGAATTCTTTGGTGTGCTGATATGTAGCACTTGGCCAAGATGTAACTTCTTCAGATGAAATTCAGCTTGCCCTGGGGAAAGATGTTCAAGAAATGGTGACAGGCAGTTTAAGATGAGATGCTCATATAATTGTAAACATGGCATAACAGGGATATGGGAGAGGTAGTTAGCCATGTTAGTCTGAAATTAAGCAGAAGATACAGCAAGATGGCCCTTTAGAGACTCTGAGCCAGATCGACATTCTCTAAGGTACCATCCTGCTCTGCCTTCATAATACGGAAATGGGGCTGAAGTTCTTTGGCTCCGAAGCATTTTTCCCTGGTTTTAGGAGCGCTGCAATTGTGTGCTTGTCGCTGTATCGTAATACGTGCTTTAACATGTCTCAGGTAACTGAAGTAGCTAGGCCTTGGTTGTTAGTTTAAAGTATATTATCTGTTCAGTGCAGATGTTACTGAAACTGGTAACTTTGCTATTTTTGAGGGAGTTTTTCCCCCAAAATTTAGTTCAGCCATTGTGCACTGAAGCCCAAAGTGATGAATCCTCTGTTCATCTTGATGTTGAATTTGGGACTTGGCAGACCATCAAAGTATCCTGTTTCCAAGGAGTTGATCTACAACCTGATATGCAGGGGTACAATGTTATTCTGCCTTTCTTGGGTCACTGGTAAACTTCCAGATAGCTATCCATGCTTTCTTGCTCTTGTGAGTCACGTCTGTGCTCCCTGTAAGGTTTTGCCATGACTTCCATCTTTCATTCATCAGCAGGGATCCTGGTTTTCTCTGATTAAAAATTGCAAATTCTCTGATTAAAAATCCAAAATCCGTGATTAAAAATTAAAGGCCCCCCACAGCTCGTGGCAGCAGCTGCCCATGACTGCAGTGACAACCACTACGTACAAACCCCCCTGCTGCCGCCACGGAGCCGTGCCCAGAGCTGTGCAGCTGGCAACTAGGTGGCAGTGGCAGCATGGTGGTGGCCGGGCAGCACGCAGCCATCTCCAACACCGTGCTGCCCTGCGCTGGTGCCACCAGCCACACAGCTCTGGGCTTGGCTCCAGAGCAGAAGGAGGTTTTGTACGCAGTGGCCGTCACGGACGGCCACTGCCACTTTATCTGTGGGGCCACCCGTGCCAGCGGTGATGGCTGATGCATACAAAACCTCCTGCTGCCGCCATGGAGCCATGCCCGGAGCTGTGCGGCTGGCGGCAGCAGCGCAGCATGGGGTGGTGATAGGGATGGCTGCACGTTGTCTGGCCACCACCATGCCGCTGCTGCCGCCCTGTGGCCGGCCGCACAGCTCTGGGCATGGCTCCGTGGCGGCAGCGGGAGGTTTTGTATGCAGCGGCTGTCACGGGCCTCCAGGTAAGTGGCAGCGGCCACCGCATGCAAGCCCAAGCCCCTGCCCCCATCCCTCGCCATGGCTGCAGAGCTGGCCATGGAGCTGTGCTCCGGCTGCATGCCAGCCTCCATCTCCCCACCCCCTGGGCAGGCAGATGGGCAGCATGTGTGCGGCCTGCACATGGTGGGCACCACCACACTGCGCCCTGCATCACTTGCCTGCAAAGCCCCCTCACTGAGGGGCTCCCCTGCCCTCACCCCCTGGCCCTGCTCTCAGCTGCGATGTGCCACCTGGGGCCGGCAGCACCCCCCACTCCTTCAGCCCCCAACCGTCTTCCCCAGCCCTGCCCCACAGCCCCACTTGCCTCCATGCTCCAGGGGCGAAGGGCAAGTCTGAGCCTGAGCCCAGCCTTGGCTGCCCCAGAGGCTCAGGCCCTGCCCTCCCCCACTCTCCCTCCCCCTTCGGCCAGGGCTGGGGATTTCCTGCCCTTTTTGCAATCAGCTCTTGCAGGCTGGAGCTGTGCCAGCCTGCAAGAGCTCTTTGCAAAAACAGAATCTGCGGATTTCTCTGCCAAAAAGAGAAATCCGTGTTTTCTCCGATAAAAACAGGGAATCCGTGGTTTTCTCCATTTTTCCGTGGGAAACGGAAAACCTGGATCCCTACTCATCAGCATAGACCAGTTCTTCACCAGTTACAATGGCATACTCTGCTATAAGCCTCATAAAGTGATTGGGCTAGTACACGATAACGTGAGGACTGTGTGTTAGCAGTGATGATGGGCTGCCCAAGTAGAATGTGTCCTGCTGCCAGCTCTATTCCCCTAGTATTTGTATAATGGTCTGTACTTCTAAGACTGGTTTCTAACACAATATCCTTGAGGTCTGGCTGCCCACCTTACTCGCACGTTATAACAGCGATGGGCAAAATACGGCGTATGGGCTGGATCCAGCCCATGGCAGGTTTTTGTCTCTCCTGTGGCTGGTCCCTCAGTCCTGCCTGGCACAGGCACAGTCCAGCTGTGGTATGTCCTGCTGCCCCTTGGGCATGCAGTGGGACTTGAGTGGCTCTGCAGCTAGACTGCCTTTCTAGGCAGCCCAGATGGCGGTGGCTCCCGGCTGCCACCACCGCTGGCCCCAGCCCTGCAGTACTGGCAGAGACCTGTGATGCACAGCCCCAACCCCACTTGCCCTGCGCCTGCTCCGGACTCACGCATCCAGGCTCAGCAATGGTGATGTGGGACAAGTTATTGCTCAGCGTGGGGGGGGGAAAGCGGCCCCTTCCCCTTGCCACTGCCAGGCTGTTCTTGCTGCATCTGCCCAGAGCCCATGCCATACTGGGCTTCCCTATATCTACACCATCATCACTGCCACCTCCAGGCTGCACAGGAGGGCAGCGGTAGCAGTGCAGAGCAGTCTAGCATGCCACGGGCTCCTGGTGGTTGCAGCAGGAACAGCCCAGTGGTGGCAAGGGGGAGGGGCTGCCCCACCCCATACTGAGCATCAACTTCTGTCCTGTGCTGCTGCTACTGAGCCTGGATGGGAGAGTCCGGAGCAGTTGTGGGGTCAGGGCTGTGCAGCATGGATCCCCACCGGTACTGAGGGGTTGGGGCCAGTGGCAGCAGCAGTCGAAAGGAGCCACCACCACCTGGACTGCCTAGAAACACAGTCTAGCTGCAGAACCACCCCAGCCCCACTGCGTGCCCAGGTGGTGCAGAGCAGGTGCGGGGTGGGCCAGGTTGGGGCTGTGTCTGGGTGCCTGCTGATCCGATCTGGTGGGGGTGAGCCTGGAGCGGGGTTGGGGCAGGGACTGCATGCTGTTGGTGGTAGCAGGGAGGTGCTGCAGGGCACACAAACTCCAGGCTGTTGAGGGGTAGGGGTGGGTGCTGACCAGCTCAGGGGTGCATACAGGCAGAGGGGTTCCCATCCATATCCCACCATATTTGCAATCCGTCCCCTACAAACTGCACAACCACACCTTCCCCTGCACACAGTCGCACACCCCACAAACACTGTACCTATCCACACCTTCCCCCCCATCCCCCCACACACACCCACATACCTCTGGGGGGAGCCCCACTCACTGCTATGCATACACATACCCCATACCCACCCACACACATACCCACACCCCCCCACAAACACCCCATACCCACCTACCCACATCCACATGTACCCCCACACCCCACATACACATACACACCCACCGCCTCCCAGAAACCCCATATCTACCCACACCTCCCCCACAAACCCCATACCCACCCACCTACATCCACACACACCCACACCCCACATACACATCCACACACCCACACCCCCTGCAACATACAGGAATAAGACCTCATTTTGAGTTGTTATGCTATCACCTCTATATACACCACACAAATACACACAAATCCAGGACAACAATATTTTTTTAAATAAAATTAAAATACGTTATTGTCAATGTTTAATTTTTTTTTAGTATATAATTTTTTTTTCTGGGTCCAAGATAGCAAACCTTCTTCCCAAAAGGAGCACTTCTGGGGGCAAGGGGAGGGACTTCCCCTGGAAGTGGTGGCAAAAGTCAGGGGTTAGGGGAGGGACTTCCAGTCCCAAGATGGTGACTAGGGGGTGGTGCATCTGTCAAGGGGTGGGGCTAACCTTGCAGCTCTGGACAGCCCATCCAAACTCGTTAAGTGGCCTCCACCCAAAATAATTGTCCGCCTCTGCATTATAAACTTCCTGACTCTAATGTCCCTGTGCTCCCAAGAGCAGCCTAGAGGAGAGGTAGGGCTGTAATGCCTCTTACTAGACTTACTGACCTATCATAATACATTGAGTTTAAAGGAATATTTTGGCAGCTTGATAATCCTTAATCAGAAGAGAAACTGATAGAAATCATATGGGTGCTCTGGGGTATATTATGTTGTTTACAGTCTGCCCAATGTTGGTGTAATTTAGTTTCTTCTCCTCTTTTCTTCAATTTTCAGGCTGTGGGAGACATGTTGTCTCTGTCAAACCAGTGCAGCTGCAGCTGCCACAAGGAACCATTTTGTAGAGAGAATACAGACAACGGTATCCTTTCCTGGCTCACCTGCCCCTTTAGGCATTGGGATTTGAGCATGTGAAACAGCTCAATGGGCATCTTCTTCAAACTGTCTGAGAAGCGCCCCTTCCTACCTGGAGCTGTGACTGCAATGGAAAGGATCCAATCCAGAGCACCTGGAAATGGTTCTTTCCTCCTGCGGATCTTCAGTACTCATGTAAAGTCTGATGTTTTAATTTGGACAAGTGGAACCTCCTGATAAAGGTTATGGGCATAGACACGGTACTACCAATATGTCTTTCACTGTCGCCTCTACTTGCACTCTAAATTTGCTTTGGAATCCCAAGCAACCCAGGCCTAGGGTGTGAGGGTAATTACGGAGGTAGGATTTGGAGGCACTGGCACTCTGGGCTAAAGGAAGCTCTCCTTAGCTGATATAAGTTTTGTCCATCTACTCCAACCATAAGTCCTGCAGAGATAGAAGAGGAAATAAATGTCCTACATGATGCTTACTCCCTTTTGAGTCACCGTTTCAAAGCCGAAAACACAGGTAAGAAGTATGCTCATAACAGAAAAATTACTTCCCCACCTCTCTGTATGTCTTGCTTCTTTTTTTATTCTTTCCAGTCCTGGACTAAAGGACTTAGGGGCTGGAGCTGGAGGGGCTGGAGCTTGATACCAGATTTTCCCAAATAAGGGAAGGTAAATTCCATCTGCTGGGATGAAGTAAATTAGGGAGAGAAGAGCATAAGCAGAGGGAGAAAAAATTATTTGGGGGGGCTGAGCATGTGTGCCTGTCACCCCCCCCGCCCCCTCCCCCAGCAGGTAAGTCTGTGGGGGAAAGGGCGGGCTGTGGGCTGGGGCCAGGCTATTCCTGGCAGGGGGGCTGGGCCAAGCTGAGCTTGGGGCAGGTGGCAGTGGCACTGGGAGGTGAGGTTGGAGGGGCTATGGCAAATTTTGGGGTGGCAGCAGCCCCCCACCCCCAATAGCCCCACTCCCAGTGCTGCCGGGATCCGGCCCAGCCTCCCTGCCAGGTAAAGCCCAGTGCAGCCCTGGTCCCAGCCCACCCTGTCCTGCGTGGATCCAGCCTCCCTCTCCCACCCGTGCCTCCCAGGGTACGCATAGCAGCAGGAGCTGCAACCCCCAGACGAGCCGCTCGTGGCTCAGTCCTGTGCCCCACCCCAGCTGTGCAGCGTCTGCCCCAGCCCCATCTCCACTCCCTTCTTCACTGCTGTGTGCGTGCCCCTCCCCACTCCTGCTGTAGCCACCAGAAGCCCGCAGCCAGGCTGCCTTGCAGCCCTATTGCTGCCCCGTGTGTGGGGAGGCTGAGCCCTGTTAGCCCCCACCTTCCACCGCCTGTGGGGAAGAGAAGTATTAAATCACAATGCTTCCTTGTTGCATGGTGCCTCCAGGCCCATTGACTTTCCTCTTCCATTTCTTTTCCAGGCCATACAACATGGCAGAGTGAGTATGAATGTCTTCTAACTCTGGAAGGTCTGCAAACCACAGTATCCCAGTGTCTGAACAAGCTGCAGCAGTTGCGAAGAGGTAAATCCAGTGTTTCTCACAGTGCTCAGACTCTTGAGCAGATTGTCTCATTTTTGCTTAATCTGGTGCTTGTGACTTAGTCTAAATGCCACAACATGAAATTTCAAGGATGCAACATTGGGGGACCAAGAATTCATTGGCCCCCCTTGTTCATGCAAGTGGTGACATAAGGATACTTACTGGTTGAATGGGGAGAAGAAATTGAAATCTGCCTCTCATTGCAAATGGAGTCAATTTGCTGTAGGCTTCAGTCTCTGTTCAGGAAAGGTCTAGGACTGGAATCTCCATGCAGCTGTCAGTCAGAACTGAGAGGCACCAGCAGAAGCGGATGAGGAAGCAGGGTGTGAGCCTGGTGTTTTTCATTGCTGTGTGGGGTAGGCTTGTCCTGTGTCATCTGATAATATTCTAGAATAACAAACATAATCTATAGATTTAATGTGTTCACCCCCTGCTTTGCCAATCCTCCTTTCCCAACAGCTGCAGAGTCACAGGGGAGGCTACAAGCATGCTGCACTGGGGATGCAGGATGCCCCTCTGCAGATTGTACTCCATTCAGGGGACAGCGATGTGGAAACATGAGTGTCTTGGCAGTGCCTCTTCTTTACTACTCCAGTCTCCAGGAGCTGAGAGACATAACAGCCTTGAAACTGCAGGTGGCAATGCTTTGCCAGAAAATCAACGTACAGAAGGTAACTTGATGGCAGAAATGCATGGTGGGGACAATGGGCTGTTTGGTGTGTTCTCACAGTGGCTAGTTACTACCCCATGGGTTTGCTCAGCATATCAGAGTCCTGCCACCTTCTGTCCCATTTTACAGACTAAGATTGTAAGGCCAGAACAGACCATTAGAAACATCTGGTCTCTGACTCCCTGCATAAACTTCTGACCATTTAAGATCAGAACATGCATCTGATTAAGATTTATGTTCTTTGTTTCAATTTGTTTTAAGCTTGTTGGGGTTTTTCTGTCACTAAACTAGACTGGAGTGGAGGGGAAGACATCAACAGCACTCATTCTTTGTGTTACAGTAATTGTATGCTGTTATGGGTAGCTTTTGTGCCGAGCAGAGCTAGGAATGTCAGCCACCCCAAGCTGACCACTTTTACTTTTTCTGCTGGCTTTAGCTAAGGACCCACTGTTCAGAGTCCTCCCTCAACAGCAGCTGAGTTAAGTCAGTTGCATCACCACCCTGGGCTTGCAAGAGATGCAAAAGAAACAGAGTTAAACAAATAAATTACTACGCTTTTGTCTGGTTTTATGCCTCCAGCTTGCCAGGCTTCTGCCAGGCTTTACTTGCCCTGTAGCCTCTTATCTTTCTGAGGCTTTGCAGGCCGGCAAACAAACAAACAAAAGAGAAGTCTTGCTCGTATCCCCTCCCTGTGGCGGCTGGACCTCAGCTTACCCCAGGCTCCGGGGAGCCTGGCGCTCTGCTGGTGTAACCCCCTGAGGCTGCTTTCAGAGTCCTTATATTTTCCCCTCTGCTGGTTCATATGGCTTGCTCTCCCTGTTTCCTCACACCCGGGTTAGCTCCCTTTCTCGGAGGCTTGCTGAGTCCCTGGACCTGGGTTCTCAGCCTCTGGTGAGACCCTTCAGCTCTGGGGAGGGTGTGGGGGAATGCTTTCAGGATGTGGGGCTGTTCAGGCCCCTCCATACCCATAGTAACAGGGCCAGGCCCTGTTACACTAATGCCTAGAGTCATCTTTGGGAATCTGTTGATCCAGCAGCATATCTGCTGTGTGGTCCATACTGTCCCATTATCAGTTGAGCCCCTTGTTCAAAGGGGGCATAGAGTCATAGAGAAGTAGGGCTGGAAGGGAACTCCAGAGTTCATCTAGTCCAACCCCCTGCCTAAGGCAGGATCATTCCTATCTGAACTTTCCCATACAAACCATAATCTAAACTCTACATAAAACTACCTTCAGCTCTGACTAGAAGTGCACCAATACATCGGTCCTATATTGGATCGGCACCAATATAAGGAAAATTGACAATATCAGCATTTGGCTTTTTTTGGCTGATGTGGCTGATAAATACCCTGTTCATGCATGCAGGCAGCCAGGAGTGAAGCATGGCAGCATGAAGATCAGCCAGGTCTGGCTGGTAAGTCTGTTGTGGGGGAAGGGGTGTGGGGGAGGGGGCAGATTGAGGCCCAAGTGGTGAGGG